TTTACGAACATATTATTTTATTATATTAGGGGGAAAGTGGACTTGGAGGGATCCATGCGACTGCAAACCGGGGCAATAGCACCGACCACCGGGCTTTTATAGTGGAAGTATATATCATTCTGCTGGACGGTCTTCTCTGGTACGGCATAGGATGTACCAAGGAGACGGCAGGCGATCGAGAGAATGTGCTGCAACCGGATATAAATCCATCCTCTCTGGTAGACGATGTATATGAATAACAGGATAGATATAACTATAATAGCCGACAAGACGGAATGCTACCTCGACTTTTTCTGGAAACGGGCTTCATACGCCGTTAATCGGGCTTCATATCTGCTGTACTTATCGTTCTGTGGAGATGCCATCCACGCATGCCGAGCCGGGATACGACTGAGGAAGGTTAGCTTGTTTCCTGACTTGCATCCGAACTCACGATGACAGATGACTGTCGGCAGCCTGGCTGCAGCCCGATCTCCAGTAGTTGACTGCTAAGTACGGAGTATATGCAGTGTTTTCCTTTCCCCAGAGCCCTTTTGCCACGGACAAGCTGGCTCCCTGGTTTGTTCCCGCCTTCCCCACAGAGCATGCGATGACAGACTTGTCTGTCGATGAGATCTTGTTACTTGTCTGTCGATGAGATCTTGTTGTTGTTGTGGCCGCATATGCAGCTGTAGTTTATAGCGGTGGTTGGAGATGTCGTTAGTTGGTTGTGGTTGTTGATAACTATGGCGGGTGTCGTGATAGTCAGTCACCGCTTAGTTAACAGTGGACCGCACGGACTGTGCTCGCCCAAATATAAAAATAAAAAAATAAAAATAATAAAAAAGGCTGTTCGTAGATCAGCTCAACTACAACTCGCTGTGCCTGAACATCCGAACATCACCATCTCCAGCAACCGCAGGCTGAAGAAGTGTGTGGTCGACATGGATGCCCTCGAGGGCGTAGAGGGTGACGAAGGCCAAGAGAGAAAAAGGGGCTTTGGACAGGGGGAGGCCCTGGTCGGCTGGTCCATCAGATCTTCACGTCAAACCATCAACCTGCGACTCTTCTTTGGCAACGACTGCTGCCTCTATGCTGCTTAGACGGCTTCGAACTGCGTCCTTTGAAGCTTTTTCAGGCACCATGCAAGCTTAGCACCGGCTTTTGGCCGTCCTCAAACACTAGCATGCTTCGTGGAGCGGGAGCCATCGCAGAAGGGGCAGGCGATGAGACGCCCATGGAGCGATCATCCTACCAGCATGTCTTTCCCCGCAAGCAACAACCAAGCAGCGTCGTGAAGGATGGAAAAGGCCATCTGAGAGAGATAAGCAAGCTGAGAGGAAGAGGGCAGAGCGTGTCTCGTCCGATCCCAGCCGGGTGAACGTCTTCTTGTCTCGATATGTCTTCGATGTCTTGTTGTAGGACCCCCTTACGGAGATCTACACTGCAACCCCGGATGAGCCAGAGGACGTCTGCCAATGACAGTTACATCCAGGCTGCAATTGTTGTGCCATTATTATCATCATATTAGCAACAGCGTCACCGGCATCAATTAAGCTAGGCGGAGGCAAAAGAACGCCGGCCGCATGACTGCAATTACTGGCGAACCGATGAGCTCCTGCTTACTCAAAACCTGTTCCTTTCGGACCTCACTACGCTTGACGGGACAAGAATGGAGCTAGGCTGTGACCTATTATTTCCCAGGATACGGGTCTGATGTTTGATATATGGACCAGCAGAACCAGCAGCGCCGGGAGGATGTCTGTGGTAGGACGATATACAAGCCTCGGCATGACCGACTCAGACGATCGACGGGGCTGAAGCTGCGTTAGCTCCCCAGTGGAAGCGCAAGGAACCCCGTATAATATCTCCCCTTGCTTGGCGGACAAGGGCAGGCCAGTTATCAGTTATGCTCCGTCTTCACTCCTTTGCCTCCTTCTGATATGAATGAGGTTTGACACGGACCGAGATGAGCGGGGATTCTTCCACCCATACCATACAATCAGACACAGTCCAGCACAATCAAGCTCTCTTGGCCGAGTGAAAGCCTTCCTTAGGCTGCATGCTAGTTGGCCTAGCTCACGAGGAAACATCATGGAAGGCCAAAGTGCAAAAAAAAAATTATACCCCAGGACCGTATCCTCATCCACCATACCCCGGGCACAAGACCAAGAGACCCGACACGGCAGAGATGATAAGGCCTTGAATGGGAATTAGCAAGGGTGAAGGAGTTCTATATAAGATGTCGAAGATGTCCCTCGAAGTCCTCTCAGAAGAATCAAGCCAGAGTTCCTCACTCGGACAACAAGCCTGACTCCTTCACATCCTTCCTTCACTCTCTTATTTCTTGTTTGGTCTTTCAAGTGAAGCAGGTATTCTCTGAAGACAGACACTATGCACGGACTTTTGCTTGCTGGCCTCGCGGCAGCCTTGCCCTTGGGCGTCGCTGGTCTCCCAGCCCGTCAACAATCTGGTCTCAGCCCTCGCGGCATTGATATCAACCCTTACCGCTTTGCCTCCATGGCCAAGTACTCCGAGCACAAGGCCACCTCCCAGATGGTGCACTCCTTCTCCTACTCCAAGGATGACGACTACGTTGCTACTGCCACCAAGCTCGTCAAGAGCACTTTCCCCAACATGACCTTTCGCACCGTCAAGGACCACTACATCGGCACCAACGGCATCGGCCATGTCCACTTCAAGCAGACTGCCCACGGCATTGATATTGACAACGCCGACTTCAACGTCAACGTAAGTATATTCTTTCACATTCATCAATCAATGGCCCTGTAATTATACTAATGGACCGTTATAGATTGGACGTGATGGCAAGGTCTTCACCTTCGGAAACTCCTTCTACGAGGGAGAGATGCCTAAGACCAACCCACTGACTAAGCGTGACTTCTCTGACCCCGTCAAGGCCCTTCATGGTGCTATCAAGACCTTGAAGCTCCCAGTCAAGCCACAGAGCGCTAAGGCTATGCCAATGAAGGAGGCCGAGACCTTCAAGTTCGAGGGTACCTCTGGTGCTCTCTCCGACCCAATGGCCAAGCTTGTCTACATCCAGAAGGATGGCAAGCTCCACCTCACCTGGAGAGTTGAGACTGATGTCGGTGACAACTGGCTCCTCTCCTATGTCGACTCCAAGGAGACCGAGACTGTCCACAACGTTGTCGACTACGTTGCCTCTGCTGACTACAAGGTCTTCGCCTGGGGTCTCAACGACCCAACTGAGGGCCAGCCCACCATGATCAAGGACCCATGGAACACCACTGGCACTGGCTCTCCATTCACCTGGCACGGAGACGGCCAGATGGACTACACCGTCACCCGTGGTAACAACATTGCTGCTCAGGACAACCCAAGCGGCGGCGAGCAGTGGGAGAACAACTACCGCCCAGACAGCCCCGAGCTCAGCTTCGTCTACGAGTACAACGAGCAGATGGAGCCAGAGCAGTACAAGGACTTTGCTATCACCCAGCTCTTCTACACCACCAACACCTTCCACGACGTTCTCTACTCTCTCGGTTTCACTGAGGAGGCCGGTAACTTCCAGATGAACAACAACGGCAAGGGAGGTGAGGGCAACGATTTCGCCATCTGCAACGCCCAGGACGGCTCTGGCACCAACAACGCCAACTTCGCTACTCCCCCAGATGGCCAGAACGGCCGCATGAGAATGTACACCTGGACTACCGCCCAGCCATCCCGCGATGGTGACCTCGAGGCCGGTATCGTCATCCACGAGTACACTCACGGTCTTTCCAACCGTCTCTGCGGTGGTCCCGCCAACTCTAACTGCCTTACTGAGCTCGAGGCCGGTGGTATGGGTGAGGGCTGGGGTGACTTCTATGCCACTGCCATCCGTCTCAAGCAGGATGATACCCACGACACCGACTACACCATGGGTGAATGGGCCGCCAACATGCAGGGCGGTATCCGTGAATACCCATACTCTACCAACATGCAGACCAACCCCTACACTTATGCTGATGTGCAGGGCATGGACGAGGTCCACGGCATTGGTACCGTCTGGGCCACCATCCTCTACGAAGTCTTGTGGAACTTGATCGATGAGCACGGCATGAGCAAGAACATCATGCCCAAGTTCGTCAACGGTGCTCCATCTGACGGCCGCAACCTTGCCATGAAGCTCGTCCTCGACGGAATGACCCTCATGCCATGCAACCCCAACTTCATGCAGGCCCGTGATGCCATCATCGATGCCGACCAGGCCCTCACCAACGGCCAGAACAAGTGTGCTCTCATGAAGGCCTTCTCCAAGCGTGGTCTTGGTGCCAACTACAAGCACGGCAAGACCCGTGTCAACAACTTCGACATGCCCGCTGACTGCTAAATTTAACGCATAACGGAGTATCTCATACATGTTTTGACATGCTTGAAATGTCCTACTTTTTGATTATCTCTTCGCCTTTTTCATGTACATAGTTTTTGACAGGCAAGGGAGTGTACATAGCCAGCATCAATTCAATTTTCACTTTAGCTGAATCTCATCGTCCACTTTTCTTCTTCGGTTTCATCCACTCTTACTAAAGACATCCATCATTTATTATTATTATTGACTTGTATTGACGGGTCATATTGATTGAGGCTGCCACGGGCTGGGAAGTGGCTGATAGCCATACATACCCTCGAACTGCGTCTCAGTGTGCCAGCCAGCATCAAGGATCCATCTCTCGCCGTTCCAGCATGTTTCATCCCACCAGCAAAAGGAAATTATACCTGCTAACTACTGTTCCAGACGCGTCAGACGGAGTTGCCTTGCACACAAGATATCGACATCCACTGCAGCTTCTTTTTCCCCGTTCCACTGCTCATTTCCCTGAAGACCGTCTCAAGCTATCCAGCCTGTCGGTCGAGACATTTAAATAAAGAATTTAAAGGTGCGGAAACATGCAAGGGTGACCCTCTACCGCTGTGAAACTCAGCTGTCGGAGCCATGCAGGTTTGAAGTAACTAGTTAATTCTCCCACTCCCGAGATGCATCAGATGGCAACGGCATGGCTGCCCATGGTACCAAGCGTGGCTTGGGATCCCTCAAGTCGCTTAAGGGCTCGGCTTCAGCTCAGGTTCAGTCCCGGCAAGTTGGCCGAGGGGTCCGAGTTATCAAAATGGGCTGTTCTTTGCTTGTCTTCGAGAGTATCACTTGGACAGAGGTCTTGCAGGCTTCCTGGTTACTGTCCGGCTTGTTCTCCTGGTGCCGGCAAGGCTCCCGCATACACTGCTCTATATACCCTGAATTTTACCCCAGGCATGGCAAGGGGCGTCTACGGCTATGGCTTCCGGAGACTGAGAGTACCAAGGAGGACTCTATGCTGAATGGAACCCAATTGCATGATCTCAATGATAAGGCATTCACTGTCCTTAGGATGTCATGCCAGGATCTAAAAATTGCTCTGGATATGGGATCTTCGGCAGCTCACCAACAAGCCATGGCTAAGGACCACTTGTAGACGTTACGATGCCAAAGACAGGGCCTGTGCCGTGGGTTCGGCTAATGTGAAGCCAGTTATTCTTCCATTATGCACTGGCACAAAGACCTTCTCCCTATAGCGATCAAGGAAACAAGTTGAATAAACTCGGACCTGGTATTATATCCGTGTCAATCGAGATCCTACGGACTTGCATACTTTCCCAGAGTATACCTAGGTTTACGCTATGAATCGAGTGAACCCATGAGAAGTTCGGAAGGGCAATACCTTGATGAGGTTGATGACGGACTATATAAGCGATGGTGACCTGGAACAGAGCCACCTTTGTACAGAAGATCCCCCGTTTTTGAGCTTCCATTGGGAGTTTAGAGTCTTTTCGTCTGAGAGCTGGACGCGGACTCTACCAGGTGATGTCCAAACAAAACTCAACTGGAATGTTTTTTTGGATGACAATATCTTGATGGAATGATATACGGCCTCAAGTTCTACTGAGAATAATCATGGGGAACACAGTGATGGATGTCTTCCCAGGATCATGAGATGGCCTTCCTCCTGCGCCTAGGGAGTTTCTTTGAGCGTTTTAGACACACGTCTTGACAAAACGTATCTGTCTGGGGCTATCCTTGAGGCCAATAACTATTCTATAGTGCCTTTGGTAGGCATATCTCGATATCTCCCTGCGTTTGATAATGCTTCATGAAGCAGTAGTAGTAGCAGTCAACGGCGGCTCGGGGTCTCTTACAGTCGTAGTACCAGTCCTTTAGTGAATGATAAACCGGCATGTCTGCAGCATCCGCCGTCTATGGTTGTTAATATTGTCAGTATAGTTATCGGCCCTTTCGTCCTGCATGCTGGGCGTTCGTATAACTATCCCTGGCCAAACCCCCTTCACATGCCGCTGCTGCCCCAGTACTGGGAGATCTTGTCCCTCGCTGCGACGAAGCCGAGTTGCAGCAGCCAGCAGCAGCCAGCAGCAGGCCCTTCTTCTCACGCCTTCTCGCGGCCTGCTGCGTCCTGTCCTCTCTCTCTGCCTCCGCCCCCTAAAATGTAACCAGCTGCGCGGATCAGCGCCCCCTGAATGACTTTTGCCGAGGTTCGTCCCTTCACGCGCTGCCGCCGCTTCTTTCTCGCTGCCACCGAGAGGCCTCAACCAGTCCGCCGCCCGCCGCGTCTTCCCCTTTTCCCCATACTCGGTCTCTTGACATATATTATTCCCGATCGGCCCCGTCCCGCGTCGTCTCATATCGTTGGACCATGGTCTCTGCGGCCGGGAGATCGCTCATCGACGACAGCTGGGACAGGGAGGATCGAGATCAGGTACCGGACGAGGGCGAGCTATTCGATAGTTAGGTGAACTACCTTGCTGCGCGGCCTTGCCACTGTGTGAGCCTTTTGCGCATAGATATAACTACCAAGTTTCAGACGGAGCTCCTCTTTCGCATCATCTGGCAGCCATGAGCGTCCTTGAGAAGATAGGCAGCATGGCATCCATGGCAGGTATGGAACCACCGCGGTGTCCTCGTTAGTTATCGTCTATCAGCTTAGCAGTGGGCTAATTCGTTTTTGCGCTTCTTGAGAGCAGGACTCCCAGATCTACCAGATATGCCCCTATCAGTGGCTGGTCCAGCTGCTGTTGCGATATTCGCCTACCTGAACGCGAAGCTAGCCATATCCCATGACCTGGGGCTGATAACAAGATATGTGCGAGCACTCATACGAGGAGCCCTCAAAGACCGGAGCAACAAGTGGAATCACTTCTACCTGCTGGAGGAATTCGCCCTGGACCCCAAGAAGGCAAAGGAGGTCTTTATCGTGTACCAGGGCAAAGAGTGGACGTACCGGCAGACTTACGACATCGCCCTTAGATACGGAAACTGGTTCAGGAACGTTCACAATGTCAAGGCGGGAGAGGTCGTTGCAATGGACTTCATGAACTCGGCCACTTTCGTGTTTGTCTGGATGGGATTATGGAGTATTGGTGCCCTTCCGGCGTTCATCAACTATAACCTCACGGCTGCTCCGTTGGCGCATTGCGTCAAGGTGTCTACTGCTAGATTGCTTCTAGTAGACAGCGAGGTCAGACATGCTGTTCCCCCAGAAATGGTTGAGAAGCTAGGAGCTCCAGACTTCAGGGAAAAGGGAGGTGCCGTGGAGGTGGTGTTCCATGACGAGAGCTTGCAGGCCAAGATCTTGCAGAGAGAACCTTGGAGAGCTCCAGATACGGATCGGCAGGGTCAAGCGCGGTCTGATGCTGGAATTCTCATTTATACAAGCGGTACCACTGGCATGCCCAAGGCGGCCATCCTCCCCTGGGCCAAACTCCTTCTCGCGGGAACATTTGTTTCTAAATGGTTGGGATTCTCGAAATCTGATCGCGTTTACACGGTATGTTGTCTTTACCTAGTGGCTAGCTGAGTCTAACGATATCAAACTAGTGTATGCCACTCTATCACTCGACAGCTGCAGTCCTAGGATTCTTCGCTTGTTTAGCTAGTGGGACCACTCTTTGTATTGGCCACAAGTTCTCTGCCTCTCATTTCTGGGATGATGTCCGAGGTAGTAATGCCACGATCGTGCAGTATGTTGGAGAAACCATGCGCTATCTCCTAGCCACTCCAGCCCAAAAGGACCCCGAGACTGGCGAAGATCTCGACAAGAAGCACAACGTTCGGCTGGCATATGGCAACGGACTACGACCCGATGTCTGGGACAAAGTCAAGGAGCGGTTCGGAATCCCAACGATAGGCGAGCTTTATTCGGCTACCGAGTCGACCTCTGGACTATGGAATCTTTCGTCCAACAGCTTCACTGCTAGATCCATCGGACGGTCTGGCCTGATTGCCGACCTGATTCTCGGTACCTCTGCCGCCATCGTCAAGCTCGACCATGACACGGAACTGCCATGGCGAGACCCAAAGACGGGACTGTGCCACCGGGTGCCCCGAGGTGAGCCGGGAGAGCTCCTATATGCCCTGGATGCGGCAAATATCAAGGATAAGTTCCAAGGATACTTCAACAACCCCAATGCCAGTAACACCAAGGTCCTACGAGATGTCCTGAAGAAAGGCGACGCCTGGTTCCGCACTGGTGATGTCATCCGTTATGACGCCGAGGGACGATGGTATTTCTCCGACCGCATCGGCGATACCTTCAGATGGCGAGGAGAGAACGTATCCACCAACGAGGTTGCTGAAGTCCTCGGGTCACACCCGCAGGTCCACGAGACGAACGTCTACGGCGTGCTACTGCCTCACCACGAAGGCCGTGCTGGCTGTGCCGCCCTGATCATGGAAGGAGTCGACCCTGATGCAGAAAAGCTGGAGCCGTCGGCGGCTTTCCTCTCCTCCCTGGGCGAGCATGTCACCGCGAACCTCCCGAAGTATGCTGCTCCTCTGTTCCTCCGCATCACCCGCGCGCTGGAGACGACGGGTAACAACAAGCAGCAGAAGACCTCTCTGCGTGCAGAGGGCGTTGACCCCAATGTCCTCGAGAGCAAGAACAGCAAGGACCTGCTTTACTGGCTTAGAGGGAAGACGTATGTGCCGTTCGAGAAGAAGGACTGGGAGAAGCTCAATGCCGGCCAGGTCAAGCTGTGATCTAGATACCAGCTGGTGATTTCGAGTACATATATTACCGAAGTAGCTAATTAGAGTAGATGTCAGTGTCAATAACTAGTTAGTTGTCACTAAATGAGAGTACGCCTTTGCTTCAACATCCATCTATCTGGCTCTACGCCCTTCACTTGACCCGGCCGTCGACAGCTTCCCCTTAGCAGGAAGAAGAAGAAGAAGAAGAAGAAGAAGTGTTTTATATCTCGTTATTACCTAATTCTCGATCCAACTAGCGCCCAATAAGAAAAATCGCCTTAGCCGTCGCCAGCGCGGTGGAGCCAAGTCATCAGAAGGGCGTCCCTCCACAAAGTACGACGACCAGCAGAGGAGGATATAAGAGCCAGCCAGGCTGCGCGGGCTCGGGGAAGCATTCATTAAGCGATCAATTGACACTCATACTCCGCGCGAGAAGCAGTAACCATGGCATCAGCACAGAAGGCAACCAAGCTCTGGGGTGGAAGATTCTCCGGTGAGTTAAAGAAGCAGCGCAGCCGACCTCCCCACGTCCCTTAGTTACCCCGGAGTGATCTTCTATACATCAATACGGGGTGCTATCTACTGTAGACATTGATACTGACTGTTCGGACGGCAAACAGGCGAACTCGACCCGTTGATGGTCACCTACAACGAATCAATCAACTTCGACAAGGCCTTTTATGCCCAAGACATCAAAGGTTCTATCGCCTTTGCCCGCGCCAACGTTGGGACCGGCATTCTCACACAGGAGGAGTTCGCTGCCATTGAAAAGGGATTGAACCAGGTCCTTCAGGAATGGAAGGACGATAAATTCGTCATTCAGCATGGTGTAGATGAAGATATTCACACTGCCAATGAGCGTCGGTTGGGTGAGATTATTGGGAAGGATATTGCGGGCAAGCTTCATACGTAGGTATTTGATACCACGATCTTCGCAGAGGAGGCAGTAAAAAAAGGCTAATGGGTAGCTTGATAGTGGTCGAAGCCGAAACGATCAGGTCGCTACTGATTTGCGGATGTGGCTTCGGGACGAGCTGCGTGAAGCTGAAAAGTTCCTCGTTGAGCTGCTCACCATTCTGACGGATCGTGCTGCTTTGGACATCGACTATTTAATGCCTGGATATACCCATCTTCAGCGTGGACAGGTATGACACCTCCGTACACTTGCACCTAGCGGTTCAGAGCTAATATTTCTTGTATAGCCTGTAAGATGGAGTCATTGGATGCTTAGCTACGGCTCTGCCTTCCTAGGCGACCTCGAACGTCTCCGTGAGGTGATAAAACACGTCAACAAGTGTCCTCTCGGATGCGGTGCTCTTGCTGGAAATGCCTTTGGAATTGACAGGGTCGCCATGGCCGAAGAGCTTGGTTTTGAGGGACTGATTTTGAACAGCATGGCCGGTGTTGGAGACCGAGATTTCATACTCGAGGCTC